AGGGAGGTTCCCTTTTTCCCCAGGCCAAGGCCCGTAAATCCCAAAAAGAAAGAACCTTTTTCTGGTAGTCGTTGTGAATGGCAGAGGAAACGTGAAAGATCCTGCAAAGTAGGGCCGCGCAGTTACATAGTTAGTCACCAAGTGCATAACTCTAAATTTATTAACATTAAACCTCATTTGCCAAATAGATGCCCAATCAAACAAACACACTTCTGTCTTTTGGGAATCCATGCTGACTATCGCTTATAATATTATTTTCTAGCAAAAACATGTGTATCTGATCATTTATCAAACTTTCAAGTATCTTCTCAACTATGGAAGTTAAGCTTACTGGTCTGTAATTTCTTGGTAAAGACTTTAATCCCCATTTAAATATAGGCACCACACTGGCCTTGCATCAATCCATTGGTACCCAGCCAGTCATTAGGTAGTCTCTAAAAATAAGTGGTATAAAGGGAAGTTCGGTAGGCCAACTCCACACCAGTAAGTTTAGACCTACACAGGAGTTTAGAACGGGAACGGGGCAGACTGTTATGCCAAATAAATCTAATGGCCATAGAGTGTAAGGTATCAAAAACCAAATGAGGAGTTTTAGTGATGAGCGGATACAATGAAGATATGCTGTTAAGTCAATTTAGTTGGTGCACCAACAGGACTGTATAAACATAAGACTGAGTGGATTTACTAATAGAACTGTTGAAAAAATGTATTAAGAGGAATTGTATTTTGATGAACATGAATGTGTAAGTACTGTGCTGGAGGAAGGGGCCCGTCTGTAAGCCTTGGAAGGCAGAGTTCTGCCGGAGAGCAACCGCCAGATGTTCCATTGTGAGGATGTAGAGGAGAGGGGACAATGGGCAACCCTGTCTGGTACCATTAAAGATCCTAAAGCGAGGGGAGAGGAAGCCGTTCACGCGAACCCTAGCTGACGGGCAAGAATACCGGGCCATTATGTTTCTTAGCATGTTGGGTCGAATGCCAAGTTGTATTAAAGGAGAACTATGGGGTTAGGGCTTTTCCCCATAGTTCTCTTAGGGGTAGTAGGAGGACACAAACTAGCGTCCTCCCGTCACCCTAAGCTCAGTATACCGCGAGCTACAGCTCGCAGGATACTGAGACGCCGCAGCTGAAACGGATCCTGACAATTATGTCTAAGTGGGCCCAGCTGTGTGAGTGACAGCTGTCTCTGCCTATCTAGAGGCAGACCCAGCTGTACCCGCCCCTCCCCGTCCGTTCCACCAGTCAGCCCTGGAGGATCGGAGCAGGGAGGGGGGAATCCAGTCCCTTTCCTGTCACGGCTCTCTGCCGTGACAGGATCGAGAAGTGAGCGAACGCCGGTATGTGTTCACTCACTTCCCAATCTACTGAGCCAACCTGTGACAGTTTCATTGTCACAGGTCGGCTAGAACTATGAGGATGAGTGAAAAGCACTCACCTCATAGTTCTCCTTTAAAGAATGTTGGAGGAAACACTAGGCGTCCACCGACAGGAGGCAAGGCGGTGTGCCGGATGTTTTAGCATAGTGCATTAACAGAAGCGTCCTAATGGTGGTTTCACATGCTTCCCTGCCTTGGACGAACCCTACCTGGTCCGGGTGAATCAAGCCCGGGAGAAGCGGCTTTAGCAATTAATTTGGCAAACAACTTCACATCAACGTTGAGGAGTCATATCGGCCTGTAATTCGTACATAGGGAACGGTCCTTAGCAGGCCTAGGAATCAACGAGATATCAGCCTCCAGCGCCTGAGCCGGGAAAGAGGCCCTGAGAGCAATACAGTTAAACACCCATAGGAGGAAGGGTGTGAGCTTAGCGCAGAACAAATTGTAAAATTTCACCTTAAAGCCATCAGGCCCCGGGCTATTACCCGTAGTGGTCGATTGAAGTGCAGAAAGCAATTCCCCCATGGTGGTGGCAGGAGGGCTGTGTGGTGGACAAAGGTCAAAACCTCCTCAGCACGATCCGATAGATTATAAAGGGAGGCATAGAAGTCCACAAAGGTACGTTGGATTTCCGAAGGGGAACTTACAAGGGTATTGGATGTGGGGAACATAAACAGAGTCGGGTCTAGAATGCAAGGTCCAAGCCAGGGCCTTCCCACATTTGTCTCGAGACTCATAAGCCCTCGAGGCTAGCGGGGTAGGGCTATATGTGACAACCAGTGCAATGCCCAGGAGAAATAATGGATGGTTAGTCACGACATGGAGAGGCATGGGAGAAGTGATGGCGTGGACAGGGAGTCAAGCAATGAAGGGCAAAACAGGATACAAAACTAGTGCAGCAGGAGCCGGGCAACAGCCCTTGTTAGAGGAGGGAGCTGTAGGAAGAGATGGACTAGGA